TGTGACTTTTGAGGCTAATTTTAAGGGTGTTTGCATCATACACAAGATATAAAAATAGCATATGTATTTCTGGCCCTGGTTACTCCACTGAACAAACTTGATATCCATTTACTGTAGTCAAAAAGTACAGCTATATTTAAAATAAACATGATTTTGAGAAAACTGATGGTTTATTTAACTGCATCCAATAATAATGCATGTAATATGCACATATTAGTATCATAAAAAATACATAACAAATATGCATCTTTTCCATTGTTTATGTTTATAAGGTGTTTAACTGTTTCTCATTCGGTTGTTAATGGCTGTACATGTTAACACAATGAGTATAGCATTACTAACGATACTTTTATCATTCTCTTTTACTTTTTGAACTTATTTAACTAGAAGATGGTATAATGTGATAGAGGAAAAAAGGTTAGTCTATTGTAATTTGGTCTTTCAAAAAAAGATACACACATGATACAGGATATACGTGATAAAATCATTTTTTATAAGTGAAAATTTGAGAGTCGCATGATACATAAGATCAGGTGTTATGCAAATATATATATATATATATATAATTTCTGCTACCATCACCAGGGGAGAGAAAGATGATAATATGGGAGAGGGTGACAATCCTGATGATTGGATGAGCAGGTACCGACAACAACATATATATATATATATATATATATATATATATATATATATATATATATATACATGGTTGGTTGGATAGATGTGAGTTTTGACACTGGGTTTCACGCTTTAGCAACGTCAGACAAACTGATTACTTTTCACACCAAATTTTTAAAACATTAATCAGTTTGTCTGATATCGCTAAAGCGTGAAACCCAGGGTCACAAACTCACATCTATCCAACCAAATATGTTAGCTCTATCTCTGATATTGAGTAGCTTTCTAATAAGTCTGCATATAATATATAAATAGTTATACATATATATATTTATTTATATACACTTTTCACATATATATATATATACATATATATATATATATATATATATATATATATATATATATATATATATATATATATATATATATATATATATATATATTATATATACATATATATATATATATATATATATATATATACATATATACATATATATATATATATATATATATATATATATATATATATATATATATATATATATATATATATATATATATATATATATATATATATATATATATATATATATATATATATATATATATATATATATATATATATATATATATATATATATATATATATATATATATATATATATATATATATATATATATATATATATATATATATATATATATATATATATATATATATATATATATATATATATATATATATATATATATATATATATATATATATATATATATATATATATATATATATATATATATATATATATATATATATATATATATATATATATATATATATATATATATATATATATATATATATATATATATTCTGTCTCTTGGCTGTTATGGGCATAATATGTGTATGCAATTTTTCCCCTACTTAATCAGCTTCAGCCATCAAGATGTCTGTAATGATTTGTGTTTTCCATGTTGGCTTTCATTGGCACACTCCTCCATCCACACTTCAGATGAGGCGCATCATCAGTTATTGGTTTTCATCCATCAATATTAGTTCAATAATGTCATATCTTTCACGGACACTCGTCGCAGATACCTGGTTGCTTGCCATGAAAGCCTCATTAATTCTGTCCTTACTGTTATTGCAAATTTGAACAACTCAGAATGCCAATTGTCTTGCATCTCACATCATACATTTCATGTCAATTCTTCCAATGATATAGTTCACTATTTTTATTGAAGTAAGTAGCACACTGACTTTTACTTCTTTTTTTTTTTTAACCAACTCACCTCAAGGAAGGTGATAATGCCACTAAGATTCAAGGGACTACTGGGAGTGAAAGAGAATGAAAATACTTTAGAAGGAACTGGAAACCCAATGCTAAACAAGAAAACAAGGAATAAACCTCTACTCCTATTCAAAAAACATATCTACTCCTACTGAAGGAAGAAATTTATTGTTTATTTTTTTTAACGGCATATCAACCTCAATGGGTTATTTAATGCTGACAACATTTTTAGGATAAATTCATATGAATAGAATATGTATTCTTTGGTTTAGATTGGTTTGGTTTATTTTGTTTTACGGCATATCAACCTCAATGGGTTATTTAATGCCAACAACATTTTTAGGATAGATCCGCATGAATAGAATATGTATTCTTTGGTTTAGATTGGTTTGGTTTATTTTGTTTTACGGCATATCAACCTCAATGGGTTATTTAATGCTGACTAGATTTTTATTACTGGTAATATCTTTATTTTAAAAATATTTCTGGTAATATTTTTTCCAAAAATGTATTGCTGGTAATATTTATTTTTTCAAAAATATATTATTGCTTGTAATATTTTTTCCAAAAATTATTGCTGG